TTTTGCTTAAAATTACATCGTCAAATAAAAATGTTACAATTACATTTAATTTAGATATTTAATTTAATTTAAGATATTTTGTTATAATTTTTAAATGAATAAAACTATAAAAACCAAACATAAACACATAGAATTTTATTTTTTGCTCGAAGAAATGACAAGTTGAAATAATCTACGATTAACATTGAATTGTCCCAACTTTAGTAAAAAATTAATTAGCACTTTAAAATTACATTATATCAAGTTAAGTCGATTATCATAGTAATGTATTGTAATGGTAATGTTGCGCCTTTTCCGAGTTAGTGCATCTGGGCACTTATACTCTTTGATAGCTGGGGAGTTTCTGCATTTGCAGAGTCCCTCCCATCTCACTGACTAATTGGAGTATTCCTCATAGTCTTCGTGATTATACAGTGACTGATCTAAGATCTGCGTACCGCCCCGATCATTTAGTGATTACTCTGAGATTAGATAGTGCTAAGTAGGACAATCTATCGGTTTTCGCATATAGCTTCAGAGCTCTGTCTATGCTTTTTGACCAGATCTATATTAAGGTCTGTTAGCATGTTATTCGTGCGGATGTACTATGGCTCTTTGAAGAGCTTTCGGAGAGCCTGACTTTGAGCAACTTATAGCTTCTGTAGCGACACACCCATAAAGTAGTGCTGGTCTAATTATATGGCTGTAGATCAACTTTCTGTTCTAAGATTGTTGTTATTTTGACTTTTCTCAAAACATCACCCTACAAGTACCGCTATAACTTTTTTTGTGAAGTTAACCTCTAAGAGTACTGTATATTAAAATAAAGATGAAACTTATACAAATATTTTAAGTCACACATCGTTAATGTAACTTAATTGGTTTAGCTGCTATAGTTATAAATATACAGATGAAAAATGTTTTTTTGACGGTTTTTTTGAATTTTTTCGCTTTTCAATGTGATAGGACTCCCACAAAAACATTTAAAAAAAAGGTTTTCTTAATTAATGATTGGGATTATTTTAATAAAAACATTTTAAGTGGCTGAATATAAAAATCGAATAAAAATTTCAGAAGTTATTCGCCCTTTTCTATATTTGCCCAAAGTAGTGATTTTTATTAATAAGACAGAAAAATCATTGCATTTTGTATAAAAGTTTAACGTCGAACACGAAATTGCATTATTGACAGTGTATTTATATGTTATAATGAGCTATATGTGTGCCTTCTTAATGGCAGAGAATACCACTAAATACTCGCACTGCAATTTTGGTGAAATCCAAATGATTTTTCTTTATATTCGCATTTGATTTAGGCTTTTAGGTCCTATACTATTTATATGATATACAATAAAATTTAAAACATCACTTACTTCTATTAAATTTGAAAATTTTGTTTTAATAAGTCTATTCGTAAATAAAATGCATTTTACTTGTTTTAAACAAAAATAATTTTGAAGATTGGTACTAGTCACGGCTCTTCTACATCAACAAACATCTACCGGCGTGATGGAGGATGGCGGATCCAGCCACGAACGATCCTGGCCTCTTCGACTGCCCGCTCCGTACGGTTAGTTATCGCCCTCTGAAGTAACCTCATGTAAATCGCTTCTCTACAAGCGTTTCTTCTATCATAATAATCCACTAGACGCTCCCCTAACTAGTGAAGTGAAATGAGAGTATTGAGCATTTATAAAGTAATTAACTCGTATATATTGAACAATTTACCACTATAATAGTTGTATACGCGGCCAGTCCAAATAAAACATACCTTATATGTGACATTGTATCTTTTTTTTTTTTTTAACTACCTGAATATATGTTAGTGATTTATATACCAAAAGTCATGTTGTTTAGTCAGCTTAAAGTTTTGCGGATAAAACTCCAAACGATATATATGGTGTAATTTTTTTTTCTTACAGAAATCTAGCTTCAATTGAATTTTTTTTCTGAACGTCACATTTTTTTAAATATTTCTATGAAAATATGATTTAAATAGATTTTTTATAGAAAATATGATAATTAAATTATCATGTAATAAATGATTAATATCCAATAACTCCTCATTGTGCTTTCAGTTCAGTGCATTATATGAAATTTTGGGGCACATAAGAATTTATTGGTATCCTCGCAAGGAAAATATTTTTTATTTACTCATTTAAACTCAAACTCATTTAAATCAATATCTAGTATTTTATGCACTTCTTAAAGCCCAACCATATCATATGCTTATATTCGACTATTGTGGTAGAACGTCAACAGAGAATCCACCTCGACTGTTTTATTTACTTTCTGTACTATAAGCTTCTCTTATTAAAAACTACTTTTTACTATGGACTTCACTTTTGATATTCCGTTTAATGTTCTTTGGCCTTCTATTTGGTGTTATGGCAGTCTTATTTATATATATTAGGTTTACTAAACAAATCCTAGCTGAAGAGTTTGTGTATAATTTCGACAGGTAAAATATAACTGAAATGTTCGGAATTGTAGCCTCCGAAGGGAATGAATCATTGCTCTTTTTTACTGGTTTTACTACTCAGTTTTTCAAATGAATATCGAAATATCTCAAGATCAGTTCAGAATTTTTTAGTATTAGTTGATGGTTGGTGCTCTCGATCTATCACTTATTTTTTGGAATAAATTCAATTCGAGGAGTCATAAAGAATTTAAATGCCGTTCATTTTAAATGAAGCTCCGGAATCTTATTTTCTGAGTTAGGTCCATCTTTCTAAGACTATGAAGTAGGCTGTAGTAGCTCGTCAGAGATTTTTGTGTTAGACCCAAAGACTTCTGTCCACACACTCTCAATAGTTTTGCAACCATCACATTTAACACCAAACAAGGAGTACTGCTACTCCATTCCTGCCTAGTCAATTATACTGTGAGTAACTTTCCGAAAATTGTATACATGTTTTCGGTTCCTCTTGAGGAGCGAGTAATATTTGAAGAAGGTTAGAATATCATACTTAAATTACTTACAATATATGAGAATCTTAATTCTGAGCTTTCAGAGGGCAAGGAAGAAACTGAGAAAATGTTTTATGGTGCAGATGTCTCTTAAACAAAATGAACATAAGCGGTTATCATTCAAGTTGTAAGGACGAAAATTTGTACAAATTTTTAACCAACAAAGTAAACAAAAGCTCCTCAGCACAATTGGAAAAGAATATTTGTGCGCTACATGAAAAACACGGCTGTTGAGTGTAAAGAAGAGCGCATTTTTAAGAAGGTTGTCTTATGTTAATAATCGACATGGCGGTGATACGAACAAGTAAGGCGTATTAAGTACTATCTAGCATAATTGTGATGTTAACAGGAAAATTATGCCAACGATCTTTTAGTCCAACACACTAAAAAATTTTTCGAAAGATCGTTTGAGAGACATTTCTCTCTGGTATTCTGGTAGCTGTCTTTTGAAAGACAGAAGGGTGTTTTTTGCTATTGCGCACATATTTTAATTGTCAGCAAAGTTTTTTTTGTGTTTTTCGTGTTTGAAACTTCTTTCGTATAAAATAAAATTATAATAAATTAAAATAAAAACTATTGATTAAATAATTAATTAAAATTTGTGAAAGAAGAACAATTTTTAATTTCATTTTTAACACGACGCCATCGAAAAAGTATTGAAATACATATTTCATATACTTATGTTTAAATATATTTTATATCTAAATGTTGGTATTTATTAATATTTATTTAACGTTGATTAATTAATTTAATTATAAATTTATATATATTTAAGCTATATTTTTAAAATGAATTAATTTTTTTTTTTGCTACTGCTGTGCCTAATGGAGTAATAGCTGCTACCATTTCTTTCGTGATATGATTTAAATTCAGTAAATAATTATTCATGTATAAATAATAATATAATGGAACATACATCTGGCGGCTCTTCATCATATTTTAATTTGATTTAATATTCAATTTATTACTTGCTTGCGGTAGCGATTAGCTGCTTTCCATTTCACCAGGAAAGTAGTAGATCTCATTACGAATCACGAATCGTTTTTTGAAACAAGACTGATCTTTCAAAAATCTTTCAAAAAACTTTTAACGATCTTTGTTAAAATTGCCTTGTAAGTCATAGAGCACCAAGATGTTTTTAAAAGAAAAATATATCTAGAAACTCAGTAATCTATATATTTGAGCTTCCAACCTGTGGTACTTGCAGTCTTCAAAAAATTATTTACCAATAATTATATATAGGAATTAATTCCATAAAACATCTGATTGTAGGTATTTGGCAATACTCGAAACAACTGTATGGTCATCCAAAAACTCAATTAATAAAAAATAATTAAAACTTTTGCTGTTGCAATTTAATACTATTCGAAACCTTCTTATTATTTTATTGAATATTATTTGATTTAATTTTATATTCTTTCATATTCTTTCTTTCTTTATATTCTTTCTATTTTATAAAATTTTATGTATATTATGTTGTTTTTTTAAAAATTCCCTTTTGTTCGTACAATTTCACAAACCAGTTAATCAATCTTATGGACCTTATAGTCTCAAGCAATGAACTTTTTACTTATATTAAAAGTCCAAAATTTCACAATTGAGTTAGTCTCAACATCGATAACTACTTAAGATTTTATATGTTATATTATACTTAACACAACAAAAAACATATATCAAAAAATGCATTTAATATATTTTAAAAGAGATGCCTATTTATATCAACCAGACTAAAAGCTATTTTCTTGCAAGTCTGAAAGAATAATTTACGGCTATTGTCATTTAAAAGAAGTGATATAATTCTGACTACAGTATTAGGTCAGAGATAAATTGGGTACCAACTAAGGCGTACGACATATTTTAACAAAATATCCAGAAGTTTTGTTCTATAAACAATCAAACATACTATCACTAAAAACAAAATATAAAAATATATTTCTAAACTATATATCACTCGAAAGATGAAGATTGAATTGTGAATAAATCTAAAAAAATAGACATCCTCATCACCATCATCAGAAATTGTGCAAAATAAACAAATAAACTAGAATGTGGTAAGTTGTAAGTTAAACGTTTTAATTTTAAAATAAACAAAATAAACTGAGATTTTAAACTGCCAAAACTAACAATTATGTGTGAACTTGTCATATGTTGTGTTTCATCACTAGTTTCGTCAACACCTCGCAGAAAAACATTCTTCTGTCATTTTAAAAATCATGCCATCAATACAAACCAATGACCTCAACTCCGTATTTCCAATAAGGAAATAAGTAGTGTCCCCAAGTAAAGTATACAGTCCACAAAGTTATATTATTTGCTTTCTTATGATTACCAGCACATGAACAATCAAAGGGTTAATCATCTGACAATCTTGTAAATGGTTTCCCTTCATCTGCTCTTACAAGCAATAGACCTCCTTAAAGATTAAGAATATTAAACATATTTGCTAATATATTTTGTATCTAAAATACCTCTCAATATACTTTCTCCAAAATTTTAATTGAAGAGTTCAACACGACCACTTGCTAGACTGAATCTGTTTTGGTCTTTCGGTACTCCTCTTCTTCTCAGGACATATTGTTTACGTACTGGATTCATTGCATTGCATCGCTTCCATCCTCAATATTCCCTTCTCTATTTTTTTCGAAAGCTTTATTAAATTTTTTATTTGAATTTGAAAAACCATCAATTTCGATATTATTAGTTTGTCTAGGACATCACTTTCTTCATCATATTCATAAATAGATGAACACGTATTTAAACCATCACCACAGATATTCTTATGCAATTGAACTGATGAGCAAGCATCATTGCCCTTCTTTGGTGTTTCAGAGGTATTAATAGTTGGATAAACGTTCGCCATTCCAGTTTTCTTGGAATTTACCAATATGAAGCTATCTGAGAAGCTCTATGTATTGCGAATATAAGATTTAAACTTTAGTAGTATTTAGTTTAATATGATCACTTACTTTTTTCGGCAATCGCATTTTTGAAATTTCCTTTGACATTTTTACAATCTGGATTTAACCAATGAATTTCAGTTCAATTTATTTATAGTTTCACCAAAATTTTTGCAACGTCATAATTTTGATTAAATTTTACGGGACCAAAATGTGAACAATTTTGTTGGAAAATAAAATAAACTGAATTACAGATTTTGATAATCACACATAAACTCACATTAATAAACTATGTTTACTTTGTTAATTAAGTGATTGTGTTTTTATCACTCGTACATAGTAAATTTATTATTAGACCATTTGTAATACATTTTCACCGGCGTACAGAAGGTGCTTTTGAAACAGCTCCTTTCGCTATTCCCAGGTATTAACTTTTCCATTATGGTCCTTTTTATGTAAACATTATTGATGCTTTAGAAATTTTTTTCTTTTGAAAGACAAGAATAGTATTAAATCAAGTTAAATAAGAATAGTTTAAATATTTCAGATACTGATAACTGCAAATGATCTGGTCTTCCAAATAAAGCGGTTGCAACGGCATTTCACCGTTGGTCAGTCGGATGACCGTAAATGAAGTTACTTTTGATCGAATAGATTAATAACCCTGCATACTAAATCGGTTCTTTGGTAACTGTTCTTGGTTTCGTAAGTTAGAAACTCTTTTCAGACATCAATAATGACTCACTGTGTAATGAGTCATCTCTTTCTGTGCCTATTTCGTATATTTGGAATATAACATATTGATACACTATATACTATGTAATAGTATATACACATAGTAATGTGGGACGCTATGGTATCGTTAGGTAATATCGTTTGAGTTAAAAATAGATTTTTTTTAAAGACATATAGAAAAAAAAATTTGAAACGATTCTCTTCGTATTATGAATAAAGTTTATGCAAATTTATGTACCTAAACGATTTATATATATACTTGACATGCCCTTATCACGATATATATTGTTGTTTTTTTATTTTTATTATTACTCAATGTTCTTTTCTTTAACAAATACATGTATCAAGCATATAAAAGAGAGATCCATAGACTTAGTTTTAACTGAAATTATTTAGTAATAGACTTCATCTTCACACAGAAATAAAAAAAATATAACTGCGGTTTTTTTCATTGAAATATTTAAACATTTGTGCTACTGACAGACTCCACTTAGCACGGGTGTCTTGATCATTTGATCAAATTGTTAGAAGACTGATAGAGGTATTGTCAGTAGTCAATAGGTTTTATCTAATGACCAAAGTTGACTCAAAACATGTATCGTGAAATGATTGTTTTTATTTCGCGTACAGAAAAATATTACATAAAGTATAGCTGGTTAGTATAGTACTTAGTCTATGCCATTCGATTAAGTTTTTGCCAATAATTATTGCATAGCGAGGTATGATTAACACTGATTTTTCATATTACAAGTTTCGGATACTTCCTACTCAACGAAATGCGAAAAAAAAATATATTTGGTACATAAAACGTATGCGATTCTTACAAAGTTGGCTTATTAAATTCTTTTTAAGTACATATTAATAAGTAGAGGTTCAGACCACATTTAATATAAATTTAAAGTGAAGGAATTTGCAATCCAATAAAGGAATTTGCATTCCAATAAATGAGTCATTCGCTAATCTAAGCAAAGTGTATGGTCCTAAAGTGTGCACCTTACTTACAGGCATCATCAATCAAGCCATCAGATTGTCTTTGTCCGTTTTTATTTTAAATTTTGAATGCGAATTGTTATAGGTATTTAGGTAAAAACCACAGACCTTCTAAAAAATCAAAAAGAGACTAATAAATTTGTTTTATGTAGTATTATATATCTTTAGCACCTATTGTTTTGTTTTCCCGAAAGTTTAGTGAAATAGTTCCACACGGATATTATTCGGTTTGTACTTTAGGCAGTCTTCTTTTTCAAGTTCATTTTGTTGCACTACTTCCATCCTCATTATTCCTTCTTCTATTTTATTAAACACAACTTTTGAACATTTATTTGAATATCCTGAATGTTCTGAATACCCGTCAATTTATATATTAAAATTTTTCTAGGACTTCATTTTTCCTTTAATCCTCATCAATGGATAAACACGTACTTATACTAACACCACAGATATTTTTATGCAAATGAAAACATGAGACAGCATCAACCTTCTTCTCTGGTGGTTCAGATGCACTAATAGTAGAATAAATTTTTGACAATACAGTATTTTTGAAACTTATCAATATGAAGCCCTCTGAGAAGTTCTATGCATTACGAATATACGTTTTAAACTGAACTTCTATCAGTTTGAATTTCACTGCTTACCTTTTTCGATAACAGTATTCTGAGAATATTCTTACACATATCAAGACAACCATATAACAAATGTACTTAGGTTCGATTTATTTATCGTTTTATCAAAATTTGTCTAACATCATAATTTTGCTACAGTTTTATTAGAAAATAAAATAAACTGAATTACAGATTTTGTTGAACAGATTTAAATTTACACTAAAAAACCATGTAAAGTTTGTGATTCAGAACACTCTTATCGTTTGGTCAGCGAATATATCTTTTTCTGATATATAGAAGGTACTTTTTAAATCGCTTATTACACTGTTCCTGAAAATAAATGTTTCCCATACGCAAATTTGTTATTTTCAAATAAAAGTATTATTGTTATTTATTTTAGTAGTTCCGGATATTTTAGAAAAATTTACCCAAAAACTATATCATGAATTGGATCGAATGAACAATAAATTAAATGTTTGTCTAGATAAAGCCAAATGATTTACTCTTTCAAATGAAGCGGTTGGTAAAGAAATATTTGATATTTTTCAACTGACAGTTAATTGAAGTTTCTTTCGTACTATTAGACTATGAACGTAACTCACTTAATCTAGACCCAGGTGATAATTTTCTTGATATTCAGAGAGGTTTAAAACGTCTTGTAAAAATCTGAATCTCGGAAAAAAGTGTGTCGAATACTGAAGCTACTGACATAATCAGTATAATCATCAGAATCTAACCATCAACCATCGAAATGTAGCTGTCTATCCATGGCTAAACCTCGAATTCCTCTCAACAGACAAACATATGGATAATTTCTGTAGTGTTATAGAAACAGACTGAGGTAATCACAATACTCACACAACCCATGTATTGTCTGAGTTCACTTACGATACAACTTTTTCACTATGCTTTCTCTTAAATTTTAGTTGAGGAGTTGGATTTGGATGACTTAATCACATTTTCAAGTAATTTGTTTGATGATGCTGGGAGTTCAGAGCAATTGGTATTAGATTGTACTACAATTCCATTATCTTCTACGATGTTTCGGTGTTTCTCTTTTTCATAGGACGCAAGACGTTTAAGTCTGTTGTTGTAAAATCTTACTTCGTTTATTGCGAATTGCTGAACTTTTCTTATTTCCAACATCTCTTCCCCTGCTTGATGCAGACGACTCTGTATATTTTCTATTTTATATCCAATATCTTTTAAATTTGGTGTTGCAATCTGAAGTTTTCGAATGACGTTTTTATTACTTCCAGTATTGCCGTGATGAGTAGTACTCGCGCCATCAATGTCTTTCCTTGATGTTTTTCTCTTACTAATGGTTTTATTAGCTTTCAATGTGGTTTTGTTAGTTACTAAACCTGTTGGTGATGGAGTCTTTGAAGAATATAAATTTTAAACGAAATTAGTTGAAGTTATCTTCACTCAGTGCTATAAACATTATTCCCTACCTTCTTCGGCAACTCCTTTTTAGTAAGTGATTTGGCGCTAATGTCCCTTGGCATCTTTCCAGACTTATTTCCTAATTGATTTTCGTTCAGTTATTGATTATATTCACTATAATTTGTGCAACGGCATAATTTTGCAAATATCTTTTGGAACGAAAATGGAAAATGGTAATTGTTTTGCCAAAGAATAGAACGATTTCATTATTACATTTTGTTGATCAAATTTTCCTTTTTGTTTTTAAGCTATGTTTGCTTTGTGTTTAAAAATAATTATTCAATTTTTTTTTTCATTAAATAATCTTTTTAGTTATTTTAAAAGGTACTACACAACACGTTTTGCTATTTCAAATCGATATGTGTTCGAGTTGACTTTTTGGTGACTTCAAAGTTGTTTTCGGTAAACAACAAAACTTAACTTGCGAAACTTATAACTATTCATCACGATATTCGATATGGATTATCAAAACAAAAGTGCATCCCCCTACCAGTTTCGGGTGGTGAAAACCAATTTCTTGAAATTGCAAAACCCAAACATAATTGTAACGAGTTTGATTGCGACTTCGTTAACTCGAGGTTGAATGATATGTTTTATACATAATCACCACATGAAAACAATCTGTCGAACAACGTTTCTTTTATCTAAACAACACAATCACAATCAATTAACATGTTTTCTCATCCAACGAATGCTTCAGATAGTGTTCCATCTGATACATATCAATTCTTCTTTCAAAGAAATACTTATACAAATACTTATTAGGAAGAAGTTTCAATTGGAATCGGACAAAATTTTTCATTTTTACAAGTAAAACATGATTATGGCAGAAAATAAATTTAAAAGTAATCCGAAAGACATCTTCTTTATAAACTGCCTATCAGATGAACCCCAAGACTTAATTCCTGATTTTGAACTCCATTCAATAATTCAATTAAATTTGTATTCTTAATTACAATCAGTTAGACAAAATTTTTTCTTAAAAGTAGGTTCTGCAATGCAAACCCTCATTAGTATTAATAAGTTTTTTCTTGAGTATATGTATATATATATATATATAAATATAAGAGTTCCTAAGCCTTTTAATTGTACTGATTTCGGGAATGTTGATTATAGTTTTTATATAGCTGTAAGTACGATATATGCAAAAGTCCTCATTCTAGCTAAAAGGACCAAAAAACAAGTGACAAAGACAAACCAATAATTTCCCAATAACTACATAAAAACAGGGAAAAAAAATTCTCAATATCTTCTCTTTCTTATTATCTTAAAATATGAAAGAGATAACAAATATTTTTTTTGAGGATAGTCCTTGGATAAATATTACCTTGTGAGAGACACTACACTAGTGTTTCTAAAAAAATTAAATAGAACTCAGTAGATGTACAACAAAACTAGAATAAAACATTAGAATTAAAAGTTATGCACATATATTTCACATGAGAAGTTAAATATAAAGATAAAAAACTGAATGTATCTGATCATGATAAAAATTTTTTTTAAGACCTTACCTTAAACGAGAGTAAAGCCTGCAGGAGAAGTTTGAACCTTTTCTACAATATAGTGCTTTTTTATCGACAAGATACTCACCAATTATTCTTCCATAAAACCAATTTCAACTGCTAATAAAAAAATAATTACAACAGACTTAAATTCTTCCCACTCGTATAGCAAATGCATCCATAACTGCAATACAAATTGGTTTATGATAATCGGTGTAAACACCTTACAGTCATCTTCTAAATTCGTTGGGTAAAGAAAGTGATTAATGGCTGACATTAAAAGAGGTAGAAACACATCGATTGTTGCTTTATACATTTTTGTTTCTTACAAAAGATCATGTATTAAAAAAACTATACGTGAAAATGATCCCTTTCCATCAGATATTCTATTTATCTACTCTCGAATTTAACTTCAGATGTAACTTTTCATACACATTATTTTGTGACATTTATTTCAAATCAGTCTATTCAATGGAATTAATAAAGAATTCTTAAGAAATGATGACTATGATACGATTTGAAAATGATACGATTACATTGGATATTGGAAATATTGTAACATTCACAAAACTCATGTAAGGTATGTACTAATTTGTAAAAATACATAATATATTATTCTAAACATTATTTATTTATTAATATTTCGTACCACATCGGTACAGAGATAAAAAATATATTATTTGAAGACAAACCCATTTTATCATGAAAGCGTTTATGACACCTCAGGAGATATATAAACAAAAAACTCAATTAATGACGATAAAGTCAATCTATCGGTCAAATAAAAAATAGAAATACGATTTAGTCACACTTATTTATATGTTTCATATATAAGAACTCAATGTATGTAATTTAAAAGCCTTATAGCCCTTACAAAGAGTCCATGCCTATACATATACATTCAAGTCGAAATATAGATTCTAATTTGGTGAGATGTATTTTCATCGAGGCTTGAATTATATACTCGTATAAGGTTAACAATATATTTTGACGCGTATATATATTATGAATTGTTTCTAGATTCGTATTCATATTAGTATGAAATATGTATATCATCTCATCTCCAAAAAGTTTGCTTTTATCTCATTTGGAATTTTATCTTAACTTGGCTAAATTTTTTAGAAACTGTCATTCACATCCAAAAAGCCATTTTTTTCTCTCTTGTCCAGTCTTATATGCTCTTGATTCTAGAGTCATTGACCTCAAGTAAACACACTTTCTTAAGTGAGTGAATAGGTATATATATCATTCATTTACCATTAGTGATGCATTTTCAAATATACTAAACGTTTTTTAAGCAAAATGTTTTGAAAATGGGAAAAGTGTGTATCTACCAGAAACTTAAATGGATGTTATTACCTTTCTAATACAAAACATACTTATATATTTAATTTAACGGTGGTTTATCAGATCTTAAGATTTATTATATATCATATATATACATTAAGACTGAAAAGTTTTTCGGAAATTCTCATTTAAAATTCGCGCGCTGTATATTTTTCGATATTTTAAGTTTATGTAGTTTGGCAGCACTGTCCTTAATTACTATGCCAAAAATGAGCTCGATCTGTCAGACAGTTCGTTTACGGCAGCTGTTGAAACCAGTTCACCTCAGTAGTGCGTTGCGAAATGTCTTCGACGGTCGTACGACCGTCCTGGAAGGCTTTGTACCACTCATAAACTTGAGTTTTCGATAAAACTGATTCCCCATAAGCCTTTTGTAGCATTCGCAACGATTCTGCACACGAAATTTCGTTCGAAACACAAAATTTGATGCAAACTCTTTGTTCAATATTTTTTTCCATTGTTTTTTTCGCAACGCCCTACTGAGGTGAACTGGTTTCAACAGCTGCCGTAAACGAACTGTCTGACAGATCGCGCTCATTTTTGGCATAGTAATTAAGGACAGTGCTGCCAAACTACATAAACTTAAAATATCGGAAAATATACAGCGCGCGAATTTTAAATGAGAATTTCCGAAAGCTTTTCGGTCTTAATGTATGTAAACGAAAATAAAAAGACGAAAAGATGTCAGGATAATTACAAAAGCTAAATAAATAGGGAAATTGCTGTATTTAGATTATAGAATATTACATTTTTAATGCTATTCTTAAGAGAAGCAATATTTTTCAATGCGCGTTTTCAACGAAATATTAATGTGAATACTAACGAAGTAGGAGCCGTGAAAGAAAGAGTACTGTGACGTTTCGAATCAATTGCTCAAAATGACGAAGTACCTAGCACGCAAATTTAGAAGTAATAGACGCAAAAGTGTGTATTATTAATATTGTAACGACCCAATTTTCTTAGACGACCCAAAAACAATTCTTAGATGAAGAAAATACACAAGTGAAGTAAACAAGTAAAGACAAAACTAACATATTTTTTTTACAAGCATGGAATGGTCACGTAGACATGCAAAAATAAATCTAATGAAAAAACACACAATGGGAGTAAACCAGCAAGCAACCGAGAACTTAATGCAATTTTGCAAAACATGCAAAAACAATTCTTAGATGAAAAATACACAAGTGAAATAAACAAGCCAGTTAGCGGGACTAAAAGCGTCGACAAGATCGAATAAAAGGGGACAAAAATGTGAAATCGGCCTCTTTTTGAATATCACCTGCGAGCAGAGTGGACGAGTTTTTTTGCTGAAGCGACCGAGGTTAGAGCAGACTTGCAGCCGATAATTGATAACAGTTGTGGAGCCATTGCACGCACAGGATACCGGTCTGGGAGCTTTAAAAGTTGCCAGATAGAGACATCTCATAGAAGGCTTCAAAAGTACCCTATGAGAAATCTCCGTCGAAGGTATTAACTGGCACGTGGCTTTGACGGATACTAGTAGGAGCGGAAACACTGAAGACCTGAGTAACAGAGGAAGTAATAAAATATTGGTAAGTTCGTATCATAATTAATACTCCATATTCCTGCGTCTGCGGCTTGTGTTTTAGTAAATTAAATACGCTGGGGAATCGTAATTAATACTCCATATTCCTGCGTCTGCGGCTTGTGTTTTAGTAAATTAAATACGTTGGGGAATCATAATTAATACTCCATATTCCTGCGTCTGCGGCTTGTGTTTTAGTAAATTAAATACGCTGGGAATCATAATTAATACTCCATATTCCTGCGTCTGCGGCTTGTGTTTTAGTAAATTAAATACGCTGGGGAATCATAATTAATACTCCATATTCCTGCGTCTGCGGCTTGCTTTTTAGTAAATTAAATACGCTGGGGGATCGTAATTAATACTCCATATTCCTGCGTCTACTGCGTAGTCCGCGGTAATTGAAAAGGTCTGTGCTTCGCTTCATTCAAAAAAAAACCATAGTCTACGAGTATTAAATCCGGTATTTGCATATAGCGAACCAGATAAATTCTATTTTATTTAGAAAATTGAATTATGTAGTAGAATTAAAGAATAAATATAAATGGCTGGCAACCCTATTGATGACTAACGAATATAAAGAATAACAAATAAAGAATCAAGCAGTGTGTAATAAGAAACTAAATGAAGCGGTTGTGTTTTATTACTACAATATCAGGTGTGGGGTAAAATTCACGTGGAGATAAATAAATTATTCTAGCGACAATAGCGTGCGTACAAATAAGAATTAAGTTCGCGTTAAATTGCGCAAATCTACAATATATATATTAATCAGTTTAAAAAAAAAAAAAAAAAAAATAATAATAAAATAATGGCTGATGGCTCAAGAGCT